GCTTTCTGCGACACTGATTTTATGCATTAGTGTTGCTAAACATTTCTCATTAAATACATTTTTTCCAATGGCTTGGCTCGTTTGGTTGATAATAATGATTATTTTTTAATTAAATTATTAAAAAAATCTAAAACTAAAATATTGTTATAAAAAATTAAGAATAATTAAATCTTAATATTTAATTTTTTTTACATTAACAAATGGTCAAGGAAAATCTATTATTTAAAAAAATAAAAAAAAATACATCATCATCATTCATCTATTATTTTAATAAAAAAATTTAACATTAAAATTTAATTATTCTTATCTTACTAAAATGTTTCTCATATTTACTTTACTAAAAAATTCTAGTAGTTTTTTTTTATTGTGAATTAAATATTTTAGTGAAAATGTTTCTCATATAATTTAACCCAAAAAAAAAAAAAAAAAAAACTAGGGAAAATGGAAAAGCAGCTTAAAATGCGTGGTTTTATTAAAATCAAAATTTCGACTTCTTGTCCCCTTTCTGCTCGGATTAGAAACTCCCATTCTCCGTTCTCCCCTTCACCCCTCCCTTGGTAAGAGCCCATCACTGCAGGAATCATCTAATCTATAATGCTTTGAATCCCATATCAATAAGAAATTACAAATAAATCTAATATATAAGTATGAAAATTAATCATTATTAATAATTTAAATTTAAAGTTTTGAAAGCTCTTAAAGCAATAATAAATTTTGGCTTGAATCCTTTCATAGGTCGTGCCTGCTCCCAATCAACATAGGGTTTTCAGTAGTAAGCTCACTCCTTTCTCCCTTCCTTTTTTTTTCCTTGTTGGTTTTTGTGTTAATTGAATTGTTCCAATGGGTTGCTAATTCCTTCTGCAGCATTTAACTTTATTTAATGAGTTTTTGGTTCTCAGCATCCGTTTATCTATGTGGTGTATGGCCATTTTCTTTACTACTCTAATTACTTATCAGAGATTTCTTCAGTTTCTTTACTGTGGGTTAGAGAAACTGTATGCTTTTGAAATTAACAATTTCTAAATAAAGTGCAGATTGAGAGGTTGGTTCACCGCTGGAGTTCACCAACCATTTCATTTTTGAAGTATTTATGGTTTCTTTTTTTCACCAGGTTAAAATTAATTTGCATGACCTTCTTATTGTTAGATTGAACAAATCACATGAGGACTAAATATTGTGGATGGATGAATGAATTGCAAGGGACGTGGGCTCCATCGACAATGGGGCACCAGTGACATTGAGTATTATTTAGTTATTTGCATGAGACCTCAATTGGAGAAGAAAACAGCTGTAGCCTGCAGACTCTAGTGATGATGGGGACTCGGTTACGCAATTCCTGCAGTGATGGGCTCCGACCAAAGAAGGGGAGAAGGGAGTTTCTAATACGAGAAGAAAGGGTATGGCACAATGTTTAGACGACATTTTAATGCCTGCTTTTCCGTTTCCCCAAATAATTACTAGCAATACCTAGAAGAACAGTTGTACAAAGATAGAAAGAAGGAAAGGGGACAACATAATTGAAACCGCTGGGTATGCCCCGAAAAAAAAAATCTCTGGAAAGATTCAGATATCAGATCAAACTAATTTATGGCCCACTATGGCGGAAAACGATTTGTGGTCCACAGGGCTTCGGCACTTTCGAAAAAAATCAAAAAGCCCAAAATTTTTGAAGTACTTGTTGTATGGCAGAAATTAGGCCCAACACATTGTGTACGGCTGAGTTGGGTTTTTTTAAAAAAAAAACATTCATGAAACTTCATTAAAAAGTAGGGGTGAGTATTGGGCATGGATTTATTTATTTAGATAAATATTATATTTAAATTATAAAAAAATAAATAAGTAGTAGGTATAAAAATATTATATTTGTAATATTAAGTAATAAATATAGGGGTTTTACTCAATCTATTTAATTGACTTGTTTAACATACATGTCACTTGTATAATTAAAATTTTATATGTATTTATTATACTTATAATCACAATAATTTCTAAAAATAAAAACAATAAAATACAAAAATAGAAATAAAGTTAATTAAGGTTTATAAACTAAACAAATCGTACACCCAATAATAATAAATTATATCAATGATAAAGTTTAAATTAAACACATAACATACATAAAATAACATTTTATATTAGACATTTTCTTTCTCTAAACTAATTAAATATATATGTATCCGTAAATTATCT